GAAAAAAAAAAAAAGGGAAAAGAAGAGAAAAAGAAATATGCTTCTTAAAACACTAAAAAAAAAATCTTAGTCCTAATGCTTGAGGGATCCCTGGTAATTTCATGGGCACATCCATGTAGGTTTTTTTAGTACAAAACAAAAATGGTTTGCCATTGTTATTCAGGGTGTTTTCCAAACCTCAGTTACCTGGTGATCTTCCGTCCAGATACCAACTAGATCTAGTTCTGATTAGTGTTTTGATGAGTCGGCTAGGTGCTGCCATCTAGATGGGACGTCTACTTGCTGAGTTAGAGGTTCTCTTTAATTGATGTTTCAGGATGGGACTCAGGAAGAATGAGAGAATGAACTAAGGAAAGAATTAGAAAGATGAAATACATGAGATTTATAAATAGAATGTTCTGATACTATGTCATACTACTTTCTGGTGATGATATTTTTCTCAAATGAATAAAGTATGATAGTGATGTGAGCAGCCCCATACCACTTCAAAGCCAAAATTTCACCAGCTTGTAGAGTGTGTAAGTATAGAGGTTTTCTCAAAAGAAATGCTGTACCTTAAATAACCCAATCTTTTTTTCATATAATGAAAAGTATATGTGATTTAGAACTGGCAAGGATGACCCATCATCCTAAACTAAGTTGATGTTTCTTCTGAAATGATTTTCCTCTGTTCTGTTCTAGTATTGTATTATTTCTTGATAGAGACAGTATTCTCTGGTGGCAGTACCTATCCAGAGAGTTGTGTTTCAGATGCTATAATACGTAGTAAAGATGGGCAAATGCACTTAAACTTTTTTTAAAAGACAAAAATACAAAGGTAGCCAAGATAAAGTTTAGGACTTACTGCTGGGTTTATGCAGCTACTACACAAGAAATCTCCGGAATTCATTATCTTTTGTTTAATTTTAGTTACTGTACAAAATCTTTCAAGGGGTACAAATAAAGTAGGAGAAGAATGAAAACACCTTGCCATCAGTTCTGATGACAAAACTCAGAATTCCCTCATTCCTTTTGTTCTGTCCTCATTTCTTCACTCCTTCCCATCTGTACACTCTGTCCAGTGCCTAAAAGAGTTATTTGACCTTCCAACCAAAAGTTAGCTTACTAAAAGCAAAGTTTCCACATGCAAAAAATGTTCTGCTTAGTAAAAAACAGTATTATTATTTACCCTGACATGACAACTGCCTTACATTATTTACTGACATAGATAGATATGGGTCAGTTGTGCTCCTAAGAAATTAAGAACATTTTAAAGCAGTTTTGGAAGCTAAGCAGGGTTCAGTATGGTTTGTACTTGGAAGAGTACAATGGGGAAGTTGAAAAAGCATCCTGCAAAAATATAATGGCAACCCGCTTCCTCATTTTGCCAAGAAAACATTTTGGATGTGCCTAAATTATCACCAAGAGTTGAGTTTGAGGAATATTTTACCTTAGCTTTAAAATAGCTGAAGTCTTGATGGGATTGTTCTGGGTGAACCAGTCTAAAGAGAGAATCATAATTTTGTGCCACCATACAACAGATGGATCTACGTAATCTATTCTACCTTTTCCCATTGTGTTTTATCTTTATAGATAACCTCAGGCAACCAGGCAGGCAGAAATTTTGTGGTTTCTGCCCAAGTTCCATGGATGGCGAGGCGTGCTGTGGTCCGTTCATCCCTGCTGTCCCCTCCCAGTTACTATGAAGCGGTACACGATGGCCGTGGACCTACTAGTCCTGAGTATCCTTTCTTTAGTGGCTGGTACCACTATATGGGTCAGGAACCTCTTTCATACAAGCGACGTGGAGGCATTGTGGATCAACGCGATATCATCATGGCCCATCAGGCCCACAAAATCCACAACACACCACAGGCAAAGCGGAAGGAGTGGGAGTGAGTATGCACAAATGTCATTTGATTCATCCATCAGTGGGCTCCATCAACTACAGGCATTTATCTCCTCCTTTCTTCTGTCCTAAAGCAATTTATAGCTCAGGGTTAGGCAACCGTGTGGGGTGTGTGTGTGTGTGTGTGTGTGGGCTGGGGTGCATATTTGAAATTTTGAGAGCATAAAAAATACTTGTATAAATTGGCTGCCATGTTATGCATGGCCAGTCATAAAATATTTTGGATTGGAAAGGAAAGTGAAAAGATTGCTCCACGTAAACCTCTCTACCTCCCAAGATGCTCTTTACCAAGTGAGTTTATTTTTGTTTTCTCTTTAAACAGTCACCAATCATATTTAATTTCAAAGAAAGTCTATGGAGTCTATGTGGCCTTAGGCATTTTTTTTAAATAAGGCAAGCCGTTCTTTAAAAACAGTAATAAGACTTTTGAACGAAATTAAGTAAGGTAGGGAATCTGGAAGCCACCAGAGAAAGGGGTATGCCCAAGCAAACTCAAGTGCAACATTGCCCACTCTTGTTGCAGTGATATTTGACAGGGTTTTCAGTTTTTTCTCCTAAGTCATCATTCTCCTATTCAGTTTAATTGCCTTGATTTCCCTTATATCCCTCCCTGGTTTCATCTTTCTTTAGTTGTAGCTACAAGCACTCCATGCAGGATTACTTCCTATCAGCAGTATGGATGATGAAGTCTCATAACTGTCTTTTAATATTGTTATATTGCCCATAGAATCTGTATTGAGAGGACTGTTTAGTATTAATGTTTTACTGTGTCTCATAGCTTTAGCAATTTTGTGTTTGTATAGTTTTGATCTTTGACAGTAATAATAAAGAAACAAGAAAGTCCTGTCAACTGGAATAGATGCGTAACAGTAATTGGAGAGTTTCTTTCTGTCTAACTGACCTTATCCTGAAAGCTGAACAAACTGCTCTGTGTTCTATGTGTTATGGTATTATGCTAGTCTAGGTTTTCTGGTGAGTGAAGGTGACTATGGTGTTGGGTTGGGGAAAAAATGCCTTATAATTTTAAAGGAAAAATCAGGCTGCAACTTCACAATATTATATAGCTTCTGTATTCCCATGAGTTGATAGCTTAAAAGTGCCATCATATGCTTCCTACTCAGGAGAGAGTTCTGTTCATTTCAACTGTGCTGATCCACAAGAAAGCAAGAATAAGATTGTCACTGAAATTGTGTGTGTTGTCCTGCAAGACACCAAATCCAGTTCTCCTAGTTCAAATACATATTTATTCTCCCACTTATAACTCAGGTTTAAATAGTTTGTGATTATCTGGGCTTTTGAAGAAAGGTTTCAATGATTAATAAGGCAAAAGGGTTCTGCTGTACCAATTGCCACAATAAATCAGTTTATAATATGCCCCAAATGATTGAGGTTTTCCATATGTGTTCATTCACAGATTAGGGAAAACCATAAGAATGTAAGAGAGACACACAAAGCAATGTGGGAAAGGACAGGCAATTCAAAGAAAGGAAATAACTTTAATCTCTTTGGATCAGAAAAATTGAACAGAAATGCAGGAAACATTTAATATATACTTGAATAGAACTTTCAGATTAAAAGTAGGTGATTTGTGTACAGGGCATTTTGCAGGACAATGTTAGTCCACATTTTATTTTAATAAATATATTCAAGCTTATACATCTATTCTGTATTAGCTTGTTCTTGCATACCAATTCAGTACATGTAGACTGCTGTTCTCCCAAGGAACCTGAATATTTAGAAAGGGCACAGCTATAAGCTTGTTTTGCAGGATCAACTGTTTATTTAATCTGTAATATTTTAGGCCATTTTTCTTTTAGTAAGAATGACTTACCAAAATTAAGAATACAGTAAACCCATCTGATGAATACATATAGAACAATGCATTAAAACTATATAGCAAACCCTGTTGGAGGATGGAAAAGGGACAGAAACTTTACACACACTTCTCTATTTACAGTGATATTTAATATACACAGTGGCCTTAGCTTAACAAATTATACTTACACAATTCTATACAGACAATTTCAAATGGGGATTTTTACAGTGTTTTATCTGTTTCGCTCCCTCCCTCTCACTCACACAGCTTCTTTCTGTGCTTTCACTTCTATTCTGTGAATAGGCTTACATCTATTCTGGGGAAGAGAATGGGACAAGGGAGAAAGAAGTATTTGCTGGGCTTCTAGGATTCCAGCGCTTTTGTCAAGTCTACCTGGTCTGTTCTCCAAGAACTGCAGTCCTTTCCAGCAGCCGTTTGCTCAGCAGGTTGCTCTCTGGAGTCCTGTTTGCTCTCCAGCTACAGATTCTTCCTCCTTGATACACTCAGTATCAGAGGTCTGTGTCATACAAAGACAAGTTCAGAAATATCCAACAACCTCCTCCTTCATTCCTTAACACTTCTGCCCTTTTATATATCTACAGCTAGAAGGCAGGTGCTTTAATTAAGCATGAAGCTTCTCCATGTCTTGGTGATACTAAGCCTGTTTTTAGTCCCAGGGGAAAAATTTGCATCCTCCCAAATCCATCAGGACAACTCACCCTACCACAAGCCCGTACAAATTTCTAGTTCCCAGGTAACTGGAAAGGCATAGGTACCCTAGGTCATTTTCTAGTGGAGTTATTACAGAGCTGTATTATAAATTTCCCCTCTCCATCCCTAAACTGCCACTTCTCAGACCCAGATATTATGTTTCAGATCCTTTAGAAGGAGGGAAACTACAAATAAATGAGTGGAGACATGCATGCATGTGCACACACACACACACACACACACACACACAGAGGATATATATAGGATATATAGGATTTTAAAAATTTAATCTGTTCAGTTGTGTCCAATTCTTGGAGGCTGCCTGGACAAGTCTCTGGAGTTTTCTTGGCAAGGTTTTTCAGAAGTGGTTTGCCATTGCCTCCTTCCGAGGGCTGAGAGAGAGTGACTGGCCCAAAGTCACCCAGCTGGCTTTGTGCCTAAGGCAGGAGCAGAACTCACCGTCTCCTGGTTTCTAGCCTGATGCCTCAGCCACTAGACCAAACTGGCTCTCATATATAGGACAGATGTCTCGTTAGTTCTGTCTGGAGTGCTAAAGTCATCTCTACACTTTTTGTTTTTCTATAATCTTGCTACAGTCTCAGTATTGAGACAAATCAGTGCTTGCCAGTGCTATGAAGGCTTGCTGTTCCCTAAACCCTGAATATTTAGAAAGGATCAGAAAAAGCAAAATTGTTTTTAGTCCCTAATTTCCTAGCAGCTATGGAGCCTCAAGCCAAACAAACATAACCTTCCAGCTCTGTTCCAGAGTTTTGCTGAAAATTGCTCCCTTTCTGAGTTTTTTTGCCACCCTTCCTTCAGCTGTAATTAACTACAACCAGCAAGTCAAGAGACAAATAGCAGCTGTGGAGGAAGTAGGCTAACTTGAGTGTATTCTGTACAGAAAGACAGGATATACGTCACGTACATATATGCATACATACTTGCATTTTAGCAGAAAATTGGTGTGGCCCCAGAAGGGAAGTTTATTCTACATCGAGACCTTGCGGTTGCCTTTTTCCCAAAATAAAGGCAGCCAAGTCCAGTGTGCATGTATAAATTCATGACTAATATCTGGAAACGTGCGACTGACTTTCTCTAACATTACTACTCTTCCCTGATCCAGGTTTCCCTGACTGATTTGCTATTGACTGGCTGATGTCAAAGGATGAGGGCTAGGGTTCCACTCTTCTAGCTTCGTTCTTGGGAATCAATTGTATAGCAATCTCCCCATGTCATCTAGAAGCCCCAAGTTAATATTGATGCTGGTGCTTCCCAACACCCGCACTCTTCCTCATTTTCTTTCCAAGTCATTTCCTTTTTTGCTGCCTCTAAGAAATCCCAGCTTGTTGCCTTGGAAACACTGATATGTGTAGCAAAGGCTGTTACTTTTATTGAGGGCTCAGCTGCTTTGTTGAGGATAGGCAGATTTAGGATTGAAAAAAGGGCACCCCTCATACACTGGAGAGATGATTTTTTTTTTCTTTTGCATTAACTGGCCGTGGAAAAGCTGCTGTGAAAACAATAGTGATGCAGTTGGCATTTTGCAGCTATTGTACGGAAGTGACTTCCATATGTGAATGGGAATTCACAGAGATCATGAATGAAATTTTAGTGAAAATAGCGCTTTCTTCTCTGCAGTGCCTCTGTGTGGAGCTTTCCTAAGCATTGTCTCACACAAATCTAAAATTAATAGTGGCTTTGAAATTGCAGATCAACAGTTGCCTTAGCACTTTTGTTATGTGTGCAGATAAAATGAGGTATGCTTATGTAACATTTAAGAAACCAGTGTCTGAGCATGTTATGCTTGGAAGAACTTGGCATTTCCAATTTCTTTTCTGCATATGTTCCAGAAAGACAAATGCAGATCGATAGAGATGCTCATCACCTAAAATGTTAGAATGAGGTGCAATCAAGGAGGAGGGTCTATAACTACATACATTGCTGAACCCCAAGATCACATAACTTTGCCTTTGGTAACAAACAATTTATTAATTTGTTATGAGAAATTTAGGCAGTCTAAAATGTTTACTACATAATGCTACTTAAATATCAAAGTAACACATTGTAAAATGTCAGTTGATAATTAAGCAAAATGTAAAATGGCAAGAGGGTGGAGGTTCTCAAATGAGATGTGTACTCCAATATGAGTGTACATGCTAACATTTGTGGTACTTGGTGGATTCAGTAGTTTTATAGAACTGCAATTTTATTTCTCACTGAAATTGATTATACTGAGGCCCTAGGCAGTCCCAAGGAGGAACTGACATCTAGAAATACCCTTCTAGGTTCACTAATTTTTTTAAAAAATGTCCTTTTCAGATCAGATTTTGATCTGAGTTTGGTAAGACAACTTTGCTATTACTGTTGTTGCTGATGTGATAGGAGGGGACAGGACTAGGCTGATGATTCAGATCAAGTATATAATGGCAGTTCTAGACCCATGTTATTTGTATGTCTAG